TGTAGGGTTTCAATGGGACCCCTGTGGTTGGTGTAGGGCTGCCAAATTGTCAATATTTGGTCTGCGTCAAAGCGATTTCGAGTTTTTTAACAGCAGATGCATCATCCCACTGAAACCAGACTCACCCAAGTAAGGTGTGGATAAAGCGAGTAAGAGGAACTTCACTTCTTTCCAGAGTAGTGGGTAATCCTTATGCATGTCTTCATTCGTTCACAGCTTCTGGTATCCTGCACACTTGAACGTCGCTTGAGTTGTTGTGTTATTTTGAAGTTCACTGAAACTTTCTTGTAGGGTGATACTAATTTCAGATGCATCAGCAATGAAAGGATCCACAAACCAGTGCAACACTGTCATTTGGAGTAGGTCAGAGAAGTGAGTTTTCATATCATTATGCATCTGCTTCAAATGATCAACATACACTGCTAGGTCATTATCAAGCAACCCAATGTATATATTTGCTGTTGTGGTGTTAGACTCTTCCGCCTACTATAAGATTAGTTGGAGAGAAGGCTTCGAGAACTGTGAACAGATTGAGCTCTAGTTAATCCGATACGCACTCACTAGTCGTGTAATACTCTTCTGGTGTACTTACTGTTTAATATACGATATATCTGCAAATCTAGTTTTGGTTATTACTTAACCATTTACTTAGTCACAACATTTGCTAGGGAAGGAAACTGCACACACTCCTGTCTCCCGAGGTTCAGCCAAATCAACTTTAGTTTCCCGTTAAATGCGTTAATTTCCTCCTTGCAGGAAAATATCGTAGACTCATTTACTTGGAGCTCTTTGCTCAGGATATTTAGCTTTTCAAATATGTCAGACAAGTAGAAGATATCGCGCTTTGCATCAACAAGTTTCTGTCCAAGTTCACTCAAGAAAGAAATAACACTGTCCCAGAATTATGTGGCCAATTACCCTGACTTCTGTGTGCAACAAAAATCGTTCAAATGCATCACTGTATTTTTCACATAGTTTCTGAAATCAACGATCTTGCAGTGCATTTTTTATCAAGTTGACAGCTTTGATAACATTGGTAAGTGCTTCATGCAGATGTCTTGCTAGGTGTTTGGGACCAGGTGCTGCTGGTAAACAGCACAAGCCATACAAACCCTATTCGAAACAGCTTTTTTTTTTAAGTAAGCACTGAATCCCCGAACCCTTCCAAAAATAGCAGCAGGGCTATCTGCTACACAAGCCACAATGCTCTTGAATAGAATTCTGTTCTCCTCAAAACAGGCCTCAAAATTTTGACGATGGGCTCATCTTTAGTGCCAGTCGTTAGTTTCAACGTGAAAAGTACTTCTTGACATATATCATCAACACCAAGAAACCTCACAAATGTCATCAAAAAAGCAGAATTATCAGGTAAATTTGATTCGTCCAGTTGAAGTTTTGAGACTAATTTGTTTTCAACATCAGCTGTCATTTTATCAACGTTTATGATACTGATGAGTTGCTCAGAGAAATAACACTAGTGCACTCTGATTCATGACTGCTGAAAGCACTACAGCCACTGCAAGCATGATCAAAGAGTCACCAATAGTATGAGACTTACTAGCTTTTGCAATCAAATTTGAATTCCTCGGTCTATTTTGGGGTAGACATATAATTCACTGTCATCCTTTCTTGAAACCATTCGCGTAACTTCTTGAAGAAATCTAACGACTTGTCTTTCTCGTCTCTATGCGCAGTCTCCAAATGCTATGTTTTTTCAATTTGCAGGGACTCATACTTTCATTTGAGAGCAAGGCCATGCATAGCAGTAACACATGCATTATACAATTTTGTGAGATCTTAAAGAATCCATTAGCAAGATATTCGACAGAATATTACCTGCACTTTTTCTTAGGTGCACTGGCAAAGTTTAAGTGAAATAAAAACATTTTTTCTAGAAAAATTACACGAGGTTGGACCCAAGCATTTTCGTATATTACATCTTCAGGGGTGAAAAATTGGGGTGGGGTCTTCAACTGATCTCTGGTTTTCTTTTAACTGAATGAAATTAATTTTTTAAAAAAAAATGTTCTGATAGTTTAAGTGATTTAGGACAAT